GGAAACCCAAACGGGATCATCGAGCAGCTGCCACCAGCACCACCGAAGTCTCTCCAGGAACAAGCCCATTCAGCGAAGAACAAATCCATGCCCTCCAGAAGATGCTCGGTCAGTTGTCACCAGTCCAGCCTACTAGTGTGGCATCGGGTGCCACCGACCTTGTTACCTATCAAGGCATTTCCCCATCCGCTTTCGTCTTGGATTCAACCTCTTCTCGCCCCTGGATTGTTGACTCAGGTGCCTTCGATCATATGACCGGGGATGTCTCCTTATTAATGGATTACCGGTCGTGTAATCCGACCTTCACTGTTAGGATTGCTGATGGATCAGCCTCCAAAGTTGCTGGTCTTGGTTTTGCCCGCATCTCTCCAAATTTATTCCTCACTTCTGTGCTTCGTGTTTCTACTTTGGATTGCAATATTATCTATATTAGTAAATTCACTCATGATTGTCATTGTGTTGCTAAATTTTTTCTATATGTTTGTGAATTTCAGGATTTGAAGTCGGGGAGGATGATTGACAGTGCTGAGTTGCGCAGTTGTCTCTATCTTCTCAACAAACCCTCTGTCAGTCTAGTCTCACCCACCGGGTGTATTCCAGTATCAAGTCTGTCTTGCTTAAATCCGCTTAGTGCATCTGTATTCCATTACAGCGTTAATAATGATAGTGAAATCATGTTACTTCATTATCGTTTAGGTCATCCCAATTTTATGTACCTGAGGAAACTGTTTTCTCATTTATTTATTAATAAAAGTCATACCTATTTTAATTGTGAATTTTGTCAACTTGTCAAACACACTCGTACTTCATTTCCTCGATTATCATACAGACCCACTTGTCCTTTTTCTCTGATCCATAGTGACGTCTGACGTCCTTCTCGTGAAAAAAATATTTCTGGGGCCCAATGGTTCGTGTCCTTTATTGATGATCACACAATTGATGATCACACACGGGTGACATGGATCTATCTTACGCGTGACAAATCCGAGGTAGGACCAATATTTTTTGCATTCTATCAAATGACACTCACTCAATTTGACACAAAAATCCAGACTCTTAAAACAGATAATGCACGAGATTTTTTCAACACCTCCATAGGAACTTTTCTTACTCAACATGGCATCCTTCACCTTAGCACGTGTGTTGATACTCCCCAACAAAATGGGGTTGCCGAGCGAAAAAATTGTCACTTATTAGAGGTAGCCTGTTGTCTCATGTTTACCACATCGGTCCCTAAATGTTATTGGGATGAGACAACATTCACCGCTGCCTACCTCATAAATCGGATGTCCTCTCGTATTCTGGGTTTTGGTAGACCAAATGATGTCTTCCTTCGCTCCTTTCTAAATACCTGAAAACTCTCTTCAGTTGTCCCTACCAAACTATTTGGTTGCTCCGTCTTTATTCATATTCACAAACAACACCGCAGTAAATTAGACTCAAATTTGTCAAATGCATATTCATAGGGTATTCGACCAACAAGAAAGGCTACAAGTGTTATTGTCATTCAACTAAAAACGTCTATAATTCTATGGATGTCACATTTTCTGAGCATCAATTATACTACAAAGGGTCTGTCATTCAGGGGGAGAGTAGTCATACTGAACAACAGCCCTGTGTTCCTTTACCAACTAACACGGGTCCCTCACAGACTCAAACCTCCTCCATCTCCTATTCAACCTCTTCAGTCTACACAACTCACACCTTCTCCTATTCAACCTCCTCAGTCTACACAACCCACGCTTCTAGAACTTCGGGTCTATACAAGACGAAACAG